GTTTTTGATTTCATTGTTTTCTGATTTTTACTATTTATTCTTCTTGAATGTTTATGTAGTGTTTTATTCATCTTTTTCTTAAAGTAGAAGCTTAGATTATTGATTTGACACCTTCTTTTCTAGTATAACTATTTATTGCTATGAATTTCTCTTTAAGCACTGCTTTAGCTGCTTTCCACACATTTTGAGAGATTATATTCTTTTATATTTGAGTTCAGTTCCAATTATATTCTAATATCTTTTGAGACTTTTTCTTTGACCCATAGCTTATTTAGAAATTTGTGAATTTCCAAGTGACTGGTAATTTCCTTAAATATTTCTGTTATTTATCTCCAGATGAATTTCATTATGGTAAAGGAATTAACTTTGTATGATTTAAATTATTTTAATTTCTTAATAATCTAGGATATAGTCCATCTTGATGATTTTTCCATGTGCATTAGAAAAGAATGTATATTCTACTTTTATTGGGTTCAATAATCTATGAATGTCAATTAGATCCAATTGATTCATGGTCTGTTTAGTTCTTCTACATCCTTGATGATTCTCTGTCTATTGGTTCTATTTATTAATGAAAAAGGATTGTTAAAATCTCCTTCTGTAATTGTGAATTTGTTTTTCCTCATAGTTTCTGTCAGTTTCTGCTTCCTATATTTTGAATGAAGCTCTGTTCTTTAGTGAATGCATTTAAGGTTGTTATATCTTCTTGGTGAATTGAACCTTTTATTACTATGCAATATCTTTCTTTATCTGGAAATTTTCTCTTCTCTAAAGTCCCTTTTGTTGTTAAAATAGCCTCTCCAAGAAAGAAATAGATTTCTTAGTATTTTCATCATATATCCTTTCCCATTGTTTTACTTTGACTTCCTTATATGGCTGTATTTGAAACGAATTTCTTGTAGACAGCACATTTTAAACACATTTTAAACCTATTCTAACAATTTCTTTTAGTTAATGGGTGTAGACCATTTATACTTAATGTGATTATGGCTGTATTTAGACTTACGCCTACCATTTCGTTATTATTGTTTCTGTTTATTTCCTATATTTTTCCTTCCTCTGTTTCCCCCTTCTTGCCTTCTCTTGGGTTATTTCAACTAGGTTTATTGATATCAGATTGCACTTGCTTTTTAGATATTCAGTATTGTTTTTATTTCAACAACTGTTATTATAATGTCCTTGAAGTCAGAGATTGTATTCTACTCCTTATGTTTGTTCTTTACCTTCTGTCATTCAGACCAGGGCTGTACTTTTCTTGTAGTGGTTGCTCAATATCTTTCCTTAAGTGGAACAATGAATACTGAGTGACTCAAATTTATATTTGATATTTGTGGTATTTCATGCTCAGGACATTTTTCTCTTTTCTAGAGGGGCTAGAATCAATTCCTTTGCCTTCAGGTGTATGGTTTAGCTTTAACATCTGCATTAGAATATTATGTTATGTTTAACCACAACTGGGGAGAGATCCACAAACTAGGAGAAGTTAGTGTTGCAGTTAGCTATAAAATGAGGTGTCTTCTTAAAGAAAATCTTGGAAATTAGTTTGTCTTCTACACGTTATACATAGCATCTACCCACCAAAGATTTTAGTAAGTTTATACAGAAAGCCTGCCAGGTCAGTCAGATTTGTCTATTACTTGACTGAAAATATGCTAGCATGTTGAAAGAGAGGTTTTGGTGAAAAAGGTCTGATGGAAGTGGGAGTATAAGAAGAGAAGACACAGGGGAAGCACTGCGGTGCTCTCCTTGGTACTGTCCAGGTGAGACATGGATTCTGAATATCAGCATCCCATTGGCTGGTCCACCTCTCTCCAGTGAGTAGATAGATGCATGAGGCTATCTTTACCTTATTCCATTAAACATTCTGTTCTTTTACCTCTCCTTGTTCTGGTTTTAGGATCAGCAAGCAAATTTCCTTATAAGCAATTTTCTTTTAATTATGAAAGCAAAAACTATAGGATAATAATGGAAAATTAAACACATACATCTACTTTTGCCTCCTTCTGAGATACAGTTGAATTCATAGTAAATGGATTTTTCAAAAGGCACAAGCTCTAAACGGAAGTAACGTGGGGTGAGGAGATAACAGCAACGAAACTTTGAAGGTGGAAAGTGTATGGATAAGCAGTAAATTAGCAAGTCCAAGATAACAGAATCCTATGGCGACTGTGAGGAAAAAGGAGAAGCCACCAGATTTATATACTTATATCCTCAAACAGCTTAAGAATTGTCTGTAGTAGGCTTACTTGGAACAAGGGGTGAAGACAGGAACTAATGTTAGGAGGATGGGTTTAAAGTCTCTTTATAATAATTTAGATCCTCAAATTCTCTTTTCCTCTCTGTCCAGCTAGATGAGTCCCTTACCCCGGCAGAAGACCAGTGGTTTATTTCCTAGAAGGATAAAAGAGAAGATCTCTAGATTTGGAAATCCCAAATGCTATGTATAACACGTAGAGACACCACTGAAACAAGGGTTTGAGTGAAACCCCTGCACTTAGTCTGCCCCCTACTTGGCTTCAGTTCTCTGGTAGCTGTACCTTTATCTTTCAAGCAAGGGGCTAGAATCTTTAGGGATCCAGTCATCCCAAGAAGAATGGTATAAAGTTACTGGCTTGGGAGTTTCCCAATGCATCAGGCCAGATAGATTAATTACCCTTGTGTGACAGGGCCAGTCAGCAAGGCCCATCCATACATTCAGTGCTTTTAGACTTCCAGGCATAAAAAATGCCAGACAACTAAGGAGAATCAGAGATCTGAGGAAAGCCTGCCCAGAAGAAATAGACACCAGAATAAAGAAATAGAAAAAGGCCTCTTGATGGGACAGAGACTACAGAGAGAGAACACAAAAATAAGACTAAGGCCATCAGTAACATCTTCAGAGAAATTGGATAATATGTTGCAATCCAAAAACAACATGATAATTTAAAGAAGAACACTCAGAGAATAAGATTGTTTAGAAATTAAAACTATGATGCCAGAAAATTGAAACTTAATAGGGAGCTTAGAGATAAAGAATTCTCAGAGAAAGTAGAACCAAAAATAAAGGTGGAAAACAGGAATGATTAAAAATAGAAAATTAGGAGACTTTTGTTAGAAGATCAATATCTGAATAATAGTCCCAGAAAGAGTGAAAAGAGAATATGGAAGGGATAAAATCATCTAAGAAATAATTTCACATAGTTTCCCATATTTGAAAGACATGTTTTCAAATTGAGAGGACCAGTGAATGTTCAGACAATGAATCTTATCAATCCTGCACTGCAGCACACCACTGAGAAATTTTAGAACACTGAGACTAAATAAAGATCATGGAAGTTTCCAGAAAGGAAAACAGGTAGATCATGTACAAAGGATGAGCAATCAGAAGACTGGTATTTCAGCAGCAGCCCCAGAAGTTAAGACTACTCAAATTTTGATGTACAGTGTTTGCAACTAGGAATGTTATATCCATTCAAATGTTTGATTAAGTGTGCTAATAAAGACATTTTCAGACATGAAATGTTTCAAGATATTTACCCCCAAGGCACCTTTTCTTGAAGCTCTGCTTCACCAAAATGAGGTTGTAAACCAAGGTTTAGAAAATCATGACTACCAGAAACAGGAGATTATATACTGGAGATAGGCAGGGGGAATCCTAGCCTGATGGTGAAGAGCTCAGAATACACTGAGAGCAAGTAACCCAGACTGGAGTAGCTCAGAAGATTCTGAGGACAATTTCTTGAAGAAAATGACACTAATAAAGTACTTCATGGGTCCAAATACATTGAGAGGAGACTTAGAGAATGGGCAGAGAGTTTGGGATTGAAATGTGATAAACACACCAAAATGAACAAATGAAAAACAAAAATTAAGACAAAGCAGAGAACTGTGTTGAGAAGGAAAAGTAACACAGTGTGCGGGAAGACTCAGCCGTGTATGTGTCTACATAGTGGTGATAGGAGTGGACCCTCGCTGAATATGCCAGCCAACATTACAGTATACCTACTGTAAGTCTGGGGAAAGGAAATCCCAGGGCAAAATACCTCTAAAAACCGAAATCAGTCAAAGGGAGAAATAAAGTTTAAAACCTGTTTATTGCTTACAAGCTGCAGTCCAGCGCCGTCTCTCTCCCCTGCTCTGGCAGAAGGAAGCAGGCAAGCAGCCAGCCCCTCCCCTTAAACTCTCAGGTTCAGACACGCCCTCGGTTGCCCAGGTAATTACCCACTGACATGGAGATGAACTTCTCTCCACCCCTGAGGATATGCAAATGCACTAAAGCTGGCGAGATACTCTGGAAATGTTACAATTTTACCCACACCTACATTGGGAGGATTGTGCCGATTGGACAGGAGCGCGTGTACATGTGGTGGGCTTGAGGGCATAAAAGCAGGCTCATGCCTCATCTTTCATATGAGGAATCAGGAAAGAGACCTAAAACTGGTAAAATTCAACAAATAGCTAGACTTGCATGTAATTTAGAGGGATGGAGATAAATATTGAGCAAATAACCTTTAAGTATTGAAAGCAGTTGGTTCCCATGATTGAGCAATAGAGGACTTTCTTGGAAGGAAGGGGGCAGAGGCTGCCTTTTACCTTCTGAGGTATGCATGCAGTGATGGGCAAATGTATGTTGGGAAGGAAGAAAACCTTAGAAAAATGTAAGAAAATAAAAAAGGAATAAAAGTAAATTTTCTGTTCACATCCAGCTTCAAGCAAAAATAAAGATACATAAATGGTTAAATAAATACAAATAAAGTCGTTCCATGCCATTATGGAAAAGATGGAGCTGCTAATATGGTAGATTACACGACTGTTTGCATAATTTGCTGTCCTTTCATCCCCATCCATCGGGTAGGAGGCGAATGATTGATCCCCTCCCCCGCCTATGATGCCAGGCTTGGCTGTGTGAGCTTTTTAGACCAAAGAAATGTAACTAAAAGTGACACACAAATTCCCAGCAGAAATTTAAGAATCATTCTGATTTCTGCCATTGTTCTTTTTCTGCTTCTTTTCTCCAACAGACAGGAGAGATTTCTTTATTGAGTCTAAGAGGCATGGAAACAGACCTGCTGTCAATCCACAGATACACATAACATGAGGAGCAAATAAACCAAGCAGCAGCTGAGTAATATGATGCATGGACAGCTCCTACCGCTCTGAGGTGGTCCCCTTTAAACTTTTGGTGGTGTGTAGAATGCATTATCATTCTCACAATTCTTCCTTTCCCCCCATGGCTTTCAGTGTGCCCCCTGCAGGCAAAGTGTACCCTTCTGCTCCTTGACATGACGTTGGCCCTGTGACATGCTCTGGCCTGTGGAATGTGAGCAGACGTGATGCAAGCAGAGGCTCGGGATGTGCTAGTGCAGCTGGGCTTGCCCACATTGCCATGCTTTGGCCCTGAGCAGAATGCCCCAGAGAACACCAGAGCTTGAGAGGAATGTTTTTGCCACTGTATGTAATTATGCATCCTTCTAGAGTGTAATCTTTAATTGATAGGATTGTATCATTGCATATTTAACTGATGGTTTACTACTCAACTTCTAACTTTTCTATTATGTTTTTCATCTTTATATAATTTTGTGATAAAAATTCTCACACTTAAACTTTTAAGCATTCCCAATTATTTCCTTATATTAAATTTCAAAGTATATGCCAAAGTAACAAAGTTTTGATACTTATTGTCATAGTTATCAGAATTTTATACAAATGCCCATTTCCCAGCATTACATAAATACTGAACGTTGTTGTTCCTTAAATTGTTTGCCAATTTGAAAGGTAAAAAACAACGTTGTGTTTTAATTTTAGGGTGTTGAACACTATTGTTTTAATAGGTCTAGTATGGTATCATTTAAATATAAAATGCACAAATTTTAAATGCTCAATTCAATGATTTCTCTCTAAATCTGAAGAGTTGTGCCACCATTAGAAAAATACAGCGTCAGAGCATTCCCATCACCCCAAAACATCTCTTGTGCCCATTTGCACCACTCCTGTTCCCTTAGCCCTGCTGAGCCGCTCAACTCTTTCCCATCTCTACAGAGCCACTTACACATCCCTTTTGTGAATTGCCCACTTTGCCCATTTGCCTACTGGAGTACTAGTGCTTGTCTGACTGAGTGGTAAGAACCATTCAAAGACTAACTCTGTAATTGCAGTTAAAAATGCAAACTTCTTAGGTCAGCCTACATGTCCCAGCTTGCATATCCAAGTATTCCTCTGGCACTTCCCCACGCTAGCTGTGTGCCCTGGACGCTCTGTCCTTCCTGCTGCTCTGACACCTGCCTCCAAGGTGCTGAGCCCTTCGCCTGAGCCCTTCACTTCGACCACTCATCTCACTGCTCCCGCGCACCTTGCGGCTTTTCGTGCCGTCTGACTGTCCCATCAGACTTTGGATCTTGCCAGTGTGACTCCCCATTCTCTGGCATCCCAAGGACTCATCACTATTTATAATGACTCATTTGAGGGTGGTCCTGATCTTGATGTCTGTCCTGCCCACGGGGTTAGGCATTCTGTGAAGGGAGCAATCCGGGTGTTTTGTTCAGTATAGTATTCCAGCCCCAGGCTGCTTTCTTTTTTTCTTTCAGTTGGTTATTTCCTCTCACTTTTGTTTGTGGTATCTTTAGGTGTTTAGAAATATTTAAATGTTTACGTAGTGAGGCTTATGATCTTTTTCTTTACAGTTTCTTCCTTTACTTTTATGCTTAAAAGTGCTTTCTAAGTGAGAGCAGATAAATACTCACTTATATTTTCTTCTGGTTCTTTCGTGTTTCTTCAACAAAAAATTTTAGCACTTTCATCCATTTGGAGTTTATATTAGTTTATAGTGTGAAGAGTACAATGTAGTGCAACTGTGTTTTTTAGAAACAGTTAATAAATTACCTCAACTTCACTTATGAAATATATTTGTCATCTCCTCACTGGCTGGAAATGCTACCTTAATTGTATACTAAATTCCTATATATGCTAAGTTCTATTTCTGGCCTTTCTGGAATGTACCATTGCTATGTCCATTTTGGTGCTATAATCATACAGTCTGAGGAACCTATAGTTGTGGAGATGATTTGTATGTAGCATATTGCTAAAGAGAAAGTGATAAAAAAATTTTCAGTTTTAGGGACCATTTGGCCACTACACACTCATAACTGGCTACTCTGACCTTCTACACTGCTCTAATCAGCCTAGTGTGGCTGAGGCTGCCCCTGACTCAAAGACGTCCTTGATGCGCTTATAAAGTCACATTTCTGGACCAATCAGGCTGCGGGTCAACATACTACATGCTGCTTGCCTTTAAGATTCCATGTGCGGTATCTCAAATTCAAACTTTGCAGACAAAGCTGGTAGCAGAAGTGGGTGAAGTAGGCTGTGTATAAGATAATATAGAGAAATGGGCCCTGAGGGTACCTGGAGTGCATGCGTGTTTAAAGACATTCCATGGCCTAAAGCGAGGCGGGGAGCAGACTGGATTTGGCACAAGGACCACACTCTTTGACCTCTGACCTATATAGCAACTGTGTAGCAATGTATAGTTTATTTATAGATGGTTTCACTTGATTTTTACCACAACCCTTTGAACTAGATACTACCAATATGCCCATTTTATGGCACACACCCTATGTCTTCAAGAGGTGAAGGATTTACATAAGGCAAGTCCTATGCAGGACTTAGAAGGGATGCAGAGCTCTGACCTGCTCCTGGATTCTACCCTGTCTTCCATATCTCATGATGGTGACATCCCAACCAGAGCAGGGATAACAAGGTGAGAAGCTTTTATGAGGGAAGGATGAGCTGCTTTTGTTATTGAATCTAAAAATGCTACAATCTAAGTGGCCTACAAAGTACCAATAAACCTGTTTCTGGCTGAATTCCAAATGTCATGACACAAAACAGGGAAAAATGACACCAGGCAGTGAGGACTCCTGCGGACAGGGGAACCCTGGTGCACATCTGCCTGAAACATCTGGAGTTACCCGGCTAGAAAGGCTGGATAAACAGCCCAAACACTCTCCACCCGCTGACTGTCACAGCTATTTAGGAAACTCCCAGAGAGAGGCTGATGGGGGCTGACTCAGACTTTCAAATCATCAGGCCATTTCGGAAGCTGATGCGGGCTGTCTCTTTCTGTCTCTCGCCGCCTCTCTTTCCCTCCCTCCCTCTCTTTCTTCGTCCTCCTCCTTTGCTTTCCTGCCGCATTGCCCTGGTACTCAAGAATTCTAAGGGTGGACTGCTTCTGGATGTGGGTGTTTAAAGCAGGAGAACGTCTTTTCTGCTTGTAACTCGAAGGTGCAGCAGCCCCAAGTCTTTCTGAGCAACTTGGTCCAGGCAGACACAAAGGCTAATGACGACTGTTCTTCTCTGAGCCTGTTATGCAATGCTCCCCAGTCACATCAGAAAGGCTGAGGCAGGGGTTCGCAGCCCAGAGAACCCTTCAACTACATTCAAAAGAGCAGTTAAGAGCAGCTGAGGAATAAGACATTCTTCTGTAGAGACCCCCTGCCTGTGGCTGAACTTAAAGCCAGGGGGAAGGTCCTGATGAGCTTGAATCTGGAGGAGGTGCATTCCATTTTGCAGGGCATGGACTGTGCATGGCAGCGCCTTTGTCTGAGCTGATGACCTCGTCCTTCCCGACAGAAAGGAACAGTCCTCCAGGGGAGCCAGAGGGGATGCACCGGGCCTTCGTGGGCTCGGCATGAGTGTGCTGTCACTGAGGAAGTCAGTCCCCTTCACTAAGCCTCTGGCTTCTGACCTGTACATTAAAGCAGCTCCAAACCAGCACATTTACAGAGAAAGCAGGAAAGCTGCATCCACACAGAAGACATTCCATCCATGTGGGGATGAGTTACATACACTGAACAGAGTTGGAGGCCTTAGACTGAGGAGTGTCATATCACTTACTAGCACAACAATGTAAGCGTCCGAAGACAGAGCACAGACCTGAAGATAGGGAACCGATATTCTTTTAAAAAACCGTGGTCAAATCTACATAATACAAAATTTACTGTCTTAACCATTTTAAGTAGACAGTTCAGCATTGTTAAGCATATTCACATTGCTGTGCAACCAGTCTCTAGAACTCTCCGTCCTGTAAAACTGAAACTCTGTCCGCATTAATCCCTAAACCCCACCCCCTCCTCCAGCCCCTGAAACCGCCATTCTTCTTTTGGTGCCTATGAATTTGACTTCTCTAGGGACCTCACATAAATGGAATCATGCAGTATTATTAGTCCGTTTGTGATTAACTTATTTTCCTTAGCATAATGTCCTCAAGATTCATCCATGTTGTAGCCTGTGTCAGAATTTCTTCCTTTTTTAAGGCTGGATAATGTTCCTTTGTATGGATAGACCATATTTGGCTATCCAGTCATCCCTCAGTGAACACTTGGGTTGCTTCCACCTTTTGCCTGTTGTGAATATGAACAGGGAGTGCAAATATCTCGTCAAGACCCTACGTTGAATTATTTTGGGAATATACTCAGAGGTGAAATTGCTAGATCATGGTAATTCTATTTCTGATTTTTTTGAGGAACCATCATACTCTTTTCCCATAGTGGCTGCATCACTTCACATTCTCACCAACAGTGCATAAGGGTTTCACTTTCTCCACATCCTCATCAACACTTCTTATTTTCTTCCTTTCCTTTCTATTTTTCTCCTCTTCCTTCCTCCCTCCCTCCCTTCCTCCCTTCCAGCCTTTCTTTCCCATCCTAATGGTGTGAGGTGGTACCTCACGTGGTTCTGATTTGCATTTCCCTGATGATAGTGACATGGAGCATCTTTTCAAGTGCTTGCTAGCCATCTGTATAAGTTATTTAGAAAAATATCTATTCAAGTCTTTGCCTCTTTTTAAATCTGTTTTTTTTGTTGTTGTTGTTCTTGAGTTGTAGGAGGAGAAGAGGTCTTTTCATGCTCATATCTCTAGGAGTTAGAATAACACCTGCCATGAAAAAATACTTGTCCTTGGTCTTTCTGATCCAGTGATTTTATTCCAAGATTTGGTGTAAATCATGGTCAATAGCTAGAGTTGGAAAATCATAATGATGGATGAAATATAATAATATATTGAGAATGAGATTGTTTAAAATGCAAAGGAATAAATTTTGAACTCTGTCACTTAGTGGGATGAATGTGC